TCACGGGATCGCGTATCTGTAAGTTTCATAATCAACATTCTGATAATATAGCATCAGTACATTTAAAAACCATATTATTATTTACGCAAAATATTTTTATTGAATATTCTCTCAATCTTCCATGAATATTTGAAATTATTTATATAATATCAATTTATTAAAAAAAAAATAAAAATAAAAAAAAGATGAAGCTATCGAAGCATGAAAATTATTCTTCACAAAATTCACAATCAAATTTTCTCCCATTTAAAAAAAAATTATAAAATTTAAACATACAGAAATAAAGAACTAAAATAACTGAATATCCAATCATTGGATACATATCTATTATCCAACCCACCAAACTCTTTATCAATTAAAAACTAATTCTCAATTTTTAAACTAATAATCCACCAATGAAATATAAATTCACATTTCAAACTTGATCCCAAACATAAAACGGCACGTGTATCGGACACACAACTCCACCACAAGTTGGAAATCGAATATTTGATCCGTTAACGGGAAAGTGATAATCGAAACCCGGGTGGACAGATCGAACATTGGAAGGGGAACATAGGAATCGTCTCATCCTCTCGCCACGATTTCAATCAAATATCTCGAAACTCGGTTGGCACGAGCGTCTTGTAAAATAAATTCGCTCGTCTTTGGATCGTGTTTCCAGGCCGGAATCCTTACGAAAGTCGTAAACAACTGCGATCGGCGAGGATCGTGGTGGTCAGTGGCACCGGTATCCGGAACGTTTCGGATGGATATTGTGCAAGCACGAGGGTGCGATTGGGGTGGGTTCGGCGACAAAGCGAACCTCTATCGGAGTTTAGTCTCGAGTATCGAAAGTAAAATTCCTGCAGTATCCTTGATCCCATTCGTCTTTTTCCAAGAGGGTGAAAGGGTTGAAATAGGAAATGGTCGAATACGAGATGTTCTTTGGATTTTGTCCTTTATGAATTTATTTGATATTTGATATTGGTCGAGCAATATTTTTTAAGCAATAATTTTGTTGCAAGATAATATCTTGATTTTGAATTTTTATAATTTGTTTGACAAATAGAAGAAAAAATTTCATTGATTACTTTCAATCATTGGGATTAATCGTACAAATGTTATAGATGCTTCGAGTATAATAATTTTGAAAAAATAGATGAAATAATTGATTTAGCTCTTAGATTAGAAAATTAATCTTTTATTTTCTTTTTTATCCCTAAATATTTTAAATAAAAACATATCAGCACAGCAATTAAACGCGAGAATCTTTCGAATGAATACCATTTTCAGAGTTGTTCGTTTCAGTTCGTTTATCGAGAGGTGGTGTTTACCGTGATACAAGAAGATGGCACGAACGAAAGTTGGTTCTTTTGACGGGTGAGAGTCTAAATCTTATTAGGCCGAGTTATTTCTGATTGGCACTGGGGGTGTTTGCTAGCCGACTTTCTCTGAGATACTCCCTGAAGCGTCACGGTGCAAATTGACATATCAAAAGGATCGTTGTATGTAACGACGATGATATTTAATGATACCCTGTTTGCACGATAGTTTGTGAATTAGTAGCACGTTTCTTTGGAATTTTAGATTCTCTTTTATCTCATTTAATGTACAATTTATATTATATTTAAATTGTATTATTATTATTTGTTTATTCTGGATTTAAAATAAATATTATGCGAATCAATTTTTGATTTTCAATGTTTTTTTTTTTGTTCGCAATATTTTTAGAATATCGAATATTTGAAGACTGATAAATGAAGTTTCGTTTGGTTTAATAAATTTTATGGATTATATGTATATAAATCGAAAATATTTTTATTTATTGTGAAAATTTTTCTGTTGAATATTTCTGATCTATTCAATATTCAACGATACAGAAACAAGATTAAATATGCGAGTATGAAAAAAATATAATTTTCTATAAATTTCTTACAAATTTAATATCTACATATAAACGTAATTATTTCTATTAAAAATTATTATCCTGGATAAATTAATTCCACTTTCTAATTAATTTTTCGATCATTTCCCCAATCCGATAATAAATCTTTACATTTCAAATCGGAATGAGGAAAGTTTATGAAATCTCCTTGATTCAATTAATAAACCAGCCAGAACTGTGTATCAAAGTGTGTAGAAAGTTCAGTTTTCAAGTGAAGAATATATCGTTGAATTTGAATATCGAGAATAGATTAAATCGAGATTTAACGTAGATTTAACGGGAGGAAATGACGATGACGAGTTTCACGGATCGAATAATTTTATAGGTAGATTCGAAAGACGGTTCATCGATTTCGAAACGTTCGTGTCCCGCATCAAACGGTAATAAAACCGTAATTACACCGATTTGAATAATAACGCGGACCGTTTAATATCACGTTCAACGATGACGTTATGTTAATAACGCGGACTAGCGAGCGTGTAATCCGCTCCCGAATTTCGTTCTTTCGCGCGTGCTGACTGTTAATAAGGCGTGTCAACGGGAAATTGCCAACGATTGAAATAATTGAGCCTGTCGTCCGTGTCGTGGTTCCGGCCAACTCGACGATTATTCTGGAAACGTTGCAGTTTATTATTCCCTTTTACGAAATGGTTCCATCGTTCGCTCGATGAAACATCGAGCTTCGTTTAAGTCACGTTATGATGTTTTATCATTTGTTCTTTTTTTTTTTTTTTTT